CTGCTGAACATGGCTCTGGCGGTGGTTTCAATGTTCGAGCTTTAATTCAGTTGCTGCCGGTGCTGCTTATTTTGCTTATAAACTTTTTGCCTTCATCGGAGCCCTTGTACTCGCTCTCCAAGAGCTATCCTTATGAACATCGGTTTACCACACCCAAGGGTGTTAACTTTTATGTTAAGTCCACAAATTTTGCTCAGGAGTATCCGCCGCAGAGCGAGGAACGGGCGGTGGTGGATGAAAGGGTTGAGAGGGAGTACTTCAGCATTCTCCGCCAGAACTGTCGCTTCGAGATGCAGCGTCGCCAATGGGGGTATATTCGGGAAACGCCGCACTGCGATATGCTGCACAAGTTTGATACGGTGAATTGATAAGTTCAATCAAGTTTCTAAATTTTTATTGTCTTGCCTTTTCATGTAGATGCAACACCTTTTACCTGCTTGTGATATTATTATAGAATGTACAATTTATTTTTCACTCTCATATTAGTGAAGCAAGTTCATAATAAGCCAGCTGCTTTGTTGGGATTGTTAACTCTCAAACTTCATCAAATATCTCTATGATGGATATTCCTTCACAGCTGAAAATCATTCGTTGCTTCACTTGAGTACCTAAATTTGGCTTTTGAGTTTTGACTCGTGTATTTTATGTTCAACTGCCCAGAGTGGTAAAACCATATGGTAAGTACCTATTATTGCTATAATGTGATGATAATTCTGTTGGTATTATTGCTGCATGTTGGCAACTTCTATGTATTTAATTGTTGTTTTAGCTCTAATATAATAGCATAAATTTGTGATTGTTAACACCATAATAGGGAGAGTATTAGAGAGTGTCAGGAGCATGAATGGAAGAAGATAATAATAGGGGATATAAACAAATAGATAAGCATGTTTGTGGATGGTGAAAGGAGGGAAAGATAGACGGATCAGATAAATGCTTCCGTGATGTTGCGTCATGATTAAAAGGAAATAATGTTTAAAGGGTGCTAATCGTTTGCTGAAGCAAGATTGTGTGGAGTAATTGATGTTATCAATAGAACATGCATGATGGAAGTTTATAGTTTAAGCAGCTATTTAGCCTTCATTGCTTCCTTGACACCTGATAAGCTGAAGTTCTATGATTGAACTTGTGGAGGCATAGTTGGATGGCTAACAAGATTCTTATTTGAAAAGCGAAAGACAAAGATGTTTCTAAGCGGATGGGATTTCATTTAAACAAAGTTTTGTTACTTGACAGTGCTATGAATTGATTTGCCATGCCCTTTTGAGGTGTTTCTTGTCTGCGTCTGCTTCAAAGATAAATGAAATGGGGATTGAGGAGAAACAGAACTTGGCGCCTTTCTATTTGATTTGATTCATCTAGCTTGGACGATAGCCTTTTCCTTTCCTACATTTTAACCAAAGTGGCATTTTCATGTTGTTGATATGATTATAAATTAATATCCAAATTAATATAGAAAAGTATATATTTTCAATGAGAAGTTGATTATTCTTTAGGCTTTTGGGTTGTGATTTTTTTTTTTTTGTGTTAACTTTTACATTTGTACTACTCTTTTTTTTTTTCTTTTTTTTTTCTTTTTTTTTTTCCCAGGGGTGTTAGATTTGTTGTGTGGGGCGTTGTGGGTTAAACCCAAGTCATGTATAATGGGGTCACTCAATCACGTTGGTTTAGTGCAAGATCTATGTCAGTTCAGAAGCAACTTTTTTCAAATTTCATGATGAAGTCGTATGATGAGAATATTTTTACCTATGAATGCGTATTTTTTTTCATATTTTATTATGAATTAAATGTGTTTCTAGTTTATGTAAAATGAGGGAGTTTTGATATTGGTCATTGTAATATTTTTTCCTAAAATTTGTGAACATTATTTTTGGTTATTGTAATATATATATAT